GGAAAGGAGGAAAAGACAGCAGGGAAAGGGGGGGGGGGGGGGGGGGGGGGGGGGGAGAAGGGAAGGAAGGTAAGTGTCTGTGAGTTAATGTTATTAGAGGTGGGGAAAGTTAGATGTCTGTGAGCTAATGATAGAAATGTAGCTGTGTTAGTCTGGGGTAGTTGAAGCAAAATGCAGCACAATGTAGCACTTAAAACCCACCGACTCATACAGTTACCTACATGCATCCAGCTCCCATCCAGAACACACCACACGATCCATCGTCTATAGCCAAGCCCTTTGATACAACCGCATCTGCTCTAATCCCACTGACAGAGACCAGAAGCTTCAGGATCTCTACCAAGCATTTATAAATCTCAACTACCCACCCAGAGAAATAAAAAAGCAAATTGAAAGAGCCAGACGAATACCTAGAAACCATCTACTTCAAGACAGACCCAAGAAAACCAACAATAGAACACCACTTGTCATCACCTACAACCCCCAACTTAAACCTGTCCAACACATTATCAATAAACTACAGCCTATATTGGAACAGGATACCATACTCAAAGAGGCTCTGGGAGACAGACCCATAGTCTCCTATAGACAACCACCTAACCACAAGATGATTCTTACCAACCACCACAGGACATACCACACTAATACCAACCCTGGTACCTTCCCTTGCAACAAACCCCGTTGCCAGCTTTGTCCACATATTCATTCTGCTGATACCATTATTGGACCTAACCAAGTAAGTTATAAGATCAAGAACACATATTCCTGCGCATCCAGAAATATAATCTATGCTATCATGTGCCGAAAGTGTCCGTCTGCTATGTACATTGGACAAACATCTCAGACACTTCGCCAAAGGATTAATGCCCACAAAACAGATATCAGACAAGATCACAAAGAGAAAACAGTTTCTTGCCACTTTAACCAGAAAGGACACTCTCTAAATGACTTAGCCACCTGCATTCTGCTACAAAGACCTTTTACATCTGCACTTGAAAGGGAATCCTCTGAACTGTCATTCATGTTAAAATTCGACACTTACCAACAAGGACTTAACAAGTCTTTGAACTTTCTCACCCATTACCAAGACAGTTTCCCCAATTATCACCTGTAATACCATTAACTCACAAACATCCCACTCTCCCTACCTTTAATATCAGCAATTCACAGACACTTACCTTCCTTCCTCCCCCTTCCCACCCCCCCGCATCCTCCTTCTGTTCTGCAATGTGATTTGTCCTTTTCATATTTGTTCATTTTTTTAAATTGTATCCTTTGGTATATATGGTTGTGACTACTTTCTTCCACTATTTGATCTGAGGAAGTGGGTCTGGCCCACGAAAGCTCATCATCTAATAAACCATCTTGTTAGTCTTTAAAGTGCTACATTGTCCTGCATTTTGCTTCAACTACCCCAGACTAACACGGCTACATTTCTATCACTATTCTACATGCAAGGCACTACATTTAGCCGTTTGGAATGGAAATCCATCAACCATATGAAGAAACTCGCACAGATACAGACAGACATCATCTTTCTATCCAAGTGCAAGAAAATGGACATCGTACCCAAAGGACTGAAAGTGAACAATCCACTAAGATCAACATACTTCACTGACTACAGTGAAAGACTCTGCCTCACACTATCCAAGAAATTAAGAAACCACCTGATAAGTATTTTATACAAGAAACAGAAAACCATCAAGAATGACATTTCTAACTTAGATCGTCTCATCTCAAGACAAACATCCACACCGACTGACACCTTGCAAGACTTTTGTTCCACCAGACAAGAAATCTACTATACACACTTCTGTTCCCTGCAACAGAGAAAAGACAATAAATTTTCTAACCTGCTCCATACCACTGGCTACAACAGCAACTGCCTCAACCCACCGGATAATATTGTTAACCTCTCCAGCTACAAACTCAATCCAGCAGAAGAGTCTGTCTTGTCCCGGGGTCTCTCTTTCTGCCCCACGTCCCCCACAAACTGGATACAATTTTGTGGTGACCTTGAGGCTTTCTAGCCTCTTCTGGTCTCAGCCGGTCACCTGGTCCTCAGCCTCTCTCTGCTGGCAGCTCTTAGGTCTCCGCCCTCATGCTTTAGGTGTGTCTTTGGCCCATCAAGTGCCATTGTTCTACAGGGCTTCGCTACTCAGCCTGTCCATAGCAATGCTTAACCACATTCCAAGAAATATTCAGCTTCCACACAGATTACAGATTCCTACCTACACACACAGACATTATATACTCACATAAACAGTGTACACAGGATCAGAAAACAACAAGCTCCCATTCAATACCCCACATGGCTCCCTTTTATATCAATTTCTGGGGCCAACACCCCCACCTAGGGGTGCAGCAGCGATCTGGCTGCTCCCTCCAATTCGGTAATGTGACATAAGTTGCCCTGGGAAGTTGTAGAATCTTCATCACTGGAGATATTTAAGAGCAGGTTGGATAGACATCTACCAGGGATGGTCCATACCAGTGTTTCTCAACCTTTTTTTATAAAGTATCCCTTTAAAAAAATTATAAGTACCCTCAATACCTACAGTTTTCAAACACACAATTTTTTTCTACCATTGCAACACATTTGTTTAAACAACTTAATTGTAGCTGGGTGAGTCATGAAATTTTTGGGTGCAAAAAGTACAAAAATAATAAAACGGTTTCAGTTTTCTCCAAATTTCAGTTGTGTTGATGTACCCTCCCAGACCTCTCTTGCGTACCCCTAAGGGGACTCGTACCACCGGTTGAGAAGCACTGGTCTAGACGGTACTGGGTCCTGATGCGAGGGTAGGGGGCTGGACTCGATGACCTCTCGAGGTCCCTGCCAGTCCTAGTATTCTATGATTCTAAAAGATCAATTGAAAAAGCTAGAAAACGTCTGAACAGGGCAACTGGGCAAGATGACACAGTCACTACGCATGGTCTGTATGTGCTTGATAAGAAAGGACCAATCCGGGGTGGGGGGGAGGGTTGTCGCCACAATAAAGTGAGGAAAGGAACACCAATACTTCAGAGGACAGGGTTAGAATTCAGAATGGCCTGGCCAACTAGAGAAATGGTCTGAGGTAAATAGGATGAAGTTCAAAAAGAACGAGTGCGAAGTGCTCCGCTTAGAAAGGAACAATCTTGGGTATGGGATCTGAGATCTGGCACTGTTTAAAGATGTTTTGGCTTTTCTTTGTAACTAAGTTCTAGGCCCATGGAGTTTCTCCATGAGTATATTTTGTTACCTTCCTATCTAGTCATTAAGCTTGCAACAGGAATATTGTTGTAATAATAAAAGTTCTTTCTTTTCTTTTTATTAATGGCAGTGGTTAATTGTGTGCCCTGATTTTTATTTTAGGGATGAGATTTCCCAAATGATCTTTCCCCTGATTTCTTTATCAACATTTGGGAGGTGGCAGCGGAAGTTTTATTCCCAAGATCTAGGTGTTTAAGATTTTGGGGGAAGTTTTATACCAAAGCCTGGTAGATAAGGCTTTGGGGTACACTTGCTGGCCCCCACTGCTGCATTTATCATGCCAGAGTGGGGAAGGAGCCGTGACAACTGCTACTAATGAGGGTGGGATAGATGTGATCCCTGCTGCCAGCCCCAGCCCCCCACTGGCTGCTCTAGGCCCTGGGGCAGCCACCCCAAACTCTCTTATGGACCGGAAGACTCTGGCCCTGGCCAGGTCAGAGATGAGAAGTGTGGCCAGCTACTGTTACAGCTGGTGATATGTAGCACACAGCCGCAGCGTTTTGTCTCCTGCTCTGGTGCCTGTGGTTGTGGCTAATCCTCAACTGACATAGCTGGTAAGATCCCTGAGTTCTGTGACTAGCAGAGCCCTTAGGGAGCACTGGTCATAGATGAACCCTCCTGGTGCACTGCCCCTAGCTACCACCCGGAGCTACCCCCTTTACTATGTACCGCTCTAGCTACCCCCTGCCTGTACCCTGAGCGGTTTTCAAGGTTTTTGATTTGAACTCCCACCACACACAATCAAGACAGGCTGGGTGGTTTGCTGAGTTGAGTTAGGGGGTGGAGGTGCTGTTTCCCTTGATTCTGCCATGCAATGCTAGCTCAAGCCCCCTGGCTCCTGCCCTCCCAAAACAGAAGTCCAATTACATCTATACCCAGGGACCTATCCTTGGCTCGGTTCTGAAGTTTTAATACCATGTTGAGGGGAGCTTTAGATCTAATCTATCTATGGCAAGGAAGTGTATAAAAGTATATGAACTGAGGCTATACTATATCCCAATTTTATTTTTAATTAGAGTTTGGATTATATTGTTCATTATTTTTACATTTTTGTATTGGTTTTTGTTAAGCTGATCCATTAGAAGAACAATGAAGAATACAAATGGATTCTGAAACTACAAAATACACCATTTTAACAATAAAAAATACATTCTTCCACACATTGGGCTATAAATAAAATCTCTGACATCAACCTTCAAATTATCAGTATAGTTATTTGTAGTATACCAGTTTGATTAGGGATGTAAGTGAGAGTCAATTACTCGCATTCCCTGACCTTTTGCAGCCTCTGTATCAGAGGCAGCAAGGGTCAGGAGAAGCAGGAGCCGATGCTGCGGGGGTGGGGGAAGCTGGCTTAAAAGCTGGTTCCTCCCAGCACCGTCTTCACGGTGACATCTGCTTCCCCCATATTGCTGTCTCTATCAGAGGCAACAGCGCAGGAGGAGGGGAGGAATGTGTGTGTGAGGGGAGACTGCTAAGAAGCAGCCTCTGCCTGCAGCGAGCCCTGGCTCACCATAGGCAGAGGCTGCTCCAGCCCAGGCTCACCATGGACAGGGTCCCGGCTCATGATCTGCTCTGCAGTTTAAATCCAGTCTTTGCTACCCATGCATGTCTCACGGATCCAGAGGGGCCTTTCACATCCTCTGGTCCAGGGGAGCAAATTCAGAGAGATGGGGTTCACCTCAGTATCTGCCACCTGTGCATCCATCACCAGTCCGCAGGGGCCGTTCACATCCTCTGGTCCAGGGGCAGCACTGATTTTCAGTATTAACTATTAAAATAAAAACAAATAGTGCCATGACACACATCGTATAACGATTATACAGATAAATGATGAAGTGATGCCCTGCAGAACGATAACACAGAGAAATGATGAGGTGTTCAGAGCAATAAGAAAAACAGAAATAACATTTGTAAAGGAGTACAACTATATTAAAATTGGGTACAGGCAGGAGAGTGCAATTCTGCCTCCCACTGCAACTCCACAGATCTGGAGCTCACGAAATCTATTAGATTGCCCCCCTCCCCCCCCAACCCAGCTCTGGTGTGGGAGGGGAAGGTGAAGAGAGTCCTTCTCGGTTGGGGGCCAGGACAGGGAGAGTTTAGTTATTTGGGTTTTTTTGCTCCTCACTTGTGTGCAGCCCCGGGTTGATTTTTCTGTGGGTCAGTGGCCCCCGCCCCCAAAAGGCTCCCCGCCCCTTTTACAGTATTAGATTGCCCCCCTCCCCCCCCAACCCAGCTCTGGTGTGGGAGGGGAAGGTGAAGAGAGTCCTTCTCGGTTGGGGGCCAGGACAGGGAGAGTTTAGTTATTTGGGTTTTTTTGCTCCTCACTTGTGTGCAGCCCCGGGTTGATTTTTCTGTGGGTCAGTGGCCCCCGCCCCCAAAAGGCTCCCCGCCCCTTTTACAGCGTTTGGCGTCCTGTACTGTCCCGGGGCAGAGGGGCGCTGCGGGGCTGGCACTAGGGAAGCGGGACCCAGCCAGGACACGGAGAGTGGAAACAAGCCCCCTCTGCACACTGCCCCGGG